TATGATATTTGTAACATTGTACTCATTTTCTAACACCATTTGATGGTGTTGGTTCTTCTTGTTTTCTTTTTCTTTAATAATGTAATTTGATATTCAAATAGTTTAGTGTATATACGGAGTATCAACAAGTTTACTTAATTTCGCCATTTTCATTTTATTCGTGTTTTTCTTTCTTCTCATAAATAAATGGCTTGCCTTCAAAATGAAATAAACGAAATATAAAAACACAAATATGAATTATGTATCAGATTTCATTTCATTTCATTCGATTTTTATTTTTACGCTTCAACTTTTTATCATCATCAAGATTTGAGTTTGCTAAACGAAGACACATTCAAATAAATATTACATTGTATTTGGTATCATTTAATGTCCGTTATTTTGTGGTGATTTTATTTTGAATTCATTGACGTTTATATTAAAAGCATTTTTTCTTTAATACTTTTATGTAAATTTATTCGTATTTTTTTCTGCGTTATGACTGCAGAGCTATAGCTTGGCCGAGTGTGAGTTAGTCAAGTCGTTAAATCTCGCTTCACATTATCATTGTTTGTATTCGTATTATCCATCTAAAGGAATAAACGAAGACTGATTTATTACAAATTTGAAATTGTATGATGCAAAAAAAGGAAATTCAGCGGATTAAAGGTTCAGTAATGAAAATGAGTTTATTGAACGCTTGAAAGGGGATGGTTTGGTTTTTTCTGTATATTCCAGATTATGATGAAGATGAACAAATGCAGCAATAATCTTGTAGTTTTGGAGCACGCTAAAACTGAATATGCATGCCTAGATTCGGATTTAGCGACTTAAAAAAAATACACCATAAGAAACTGCGAGGGCAGTAGCTTGGATTATTTCCAATTTTATGATAATTATCACAGCAATTATGAAAAAAATGAGAAATTGTATACGCCACACTTTTCATCATAAATTATACAAATAATAAATAATAATTTTTAAATCTTTTCTGGACTCTTTTTTTCACTTCGCTTTTTTTAATACTTTTACAATCAAAACTAATATCCACATAACACGTATCATACTATCTCAGTACATATGGACAGCGTGTGTGTGTGTGTGTGTGTGTGCTCACAAATGCGTACTCTGTTTTGCTCTCTGCAATTAACGTGTCTAGTCCATTGCTGTGTCACGCAATAACAGAAAAGAGAGAAAAATGAATTATGAAGTTACATAAAAGAAATGAATTATATTCACTGTGTGGTATTTTTTTTTCGCTTCGATGTTTTGTATATATGGCTTTATTGCGAAACCGATTCGAATTAATGTCGATAGAAATGTAACGTTTTTTTATCTATTTTAACGTTGAAAAATGTAACGTTTTCACCCATTTCGGTGGTAATTTTCGTGTCAATGGAAAGTTGATTATATGCATAGTTTCCAATAAAATTGTTCATTTATTACGTTAACATTTAACAATTTATTTCTCCTATTAGTCTTTCAGTCTCATTCAAACTCACTCAAATGTGTTGCCGTTTTTGTTTGAATCTCAAAGCATACAACGGTATTGATACAATGCGCGTTTTGCTGACTCTTACTCTTTTAAAGAATGAAAGTATGTGTAACATGAGATTCAAATGTTCGATTTTGTTTACATAAAATTTATATCAACAATTCTATCGACTGTTTTCGCTGTTTGATTGCATTTTGTATCACTTATATTCATAAATATGTCCAGCATCATTAAGAAGGCAAGGATCAGTTGAATATTGAACATCACACATCGACAAAATTACAGTGTGTTGACAAAAATGTTTCAATATACAAAATCACAACGAAATATAATGAGTTGCCATTCAGATTTGTTTTCTTTTCAACTGGAGTACACACAAAGTTTGTATTCACATTTTTCAGTTTTCAACAGAATTAATCTAGCAAAGGAATTTTTTGTGCTTCGATTTAACATGTATCACAAACAAACAAATCACTCTATTCAATATTTAACGGGATTGTTTTTTTTATTGCGGCCAAAACTATACTGAGAAGTGCCGCCAGTTTAGAAAGAGATGATTTTTGGTATACAACAACAACAATCTCATACGATTGCATTCTCCGTCGCCTAAAATTCAGTTGGACAAATTCAAAAAGTCAAATATCGCTACGAATACAGAGTTTGTGTGTGTGTGAGGGAAAGTGATATAAACAAATTCATTCGGTGTTTCGGTTTGAAACATGCAATATTGAACCGGTCGCGCATATAAACAATTGAAAGTTTGTACACACACAAATGCACAACAGAGAGAGTCACACATTCACAAGGATAATTATGTGGCCATTTTAGTGTCAAACAGAATGTAGAGTATATCCATGATTTCCAATCGAATTTTCATACGCACGAGTTTCTTTGTTCTTATTGGCGGTCAGAAAATGTGCGTTGTTGTTGTTTTTTTCAAACAAATTAAATTCAAAATGACAACCGATTTCAGTTTTCAACATGATAAAATAAGACAAATGGATTTTAGTGCTAATATTGTATCAGTGGCTTTTTTATGTCACAGCACAAAGAAACGAAACATGTGAGAGAGACAATATAATATGTGTTTGTGTTTTTGTTTTTCTGTAAACGAAATACTAGTGCGAATGCAACAAACTGTAGGATTTTGACCGTACAACAGTATTCCCGATCACCGCTTGTTTTTGTGATGTGCTTCGTCAGTGTTTTGATACAACGATATCGTGTGTTCACGAAATGTGATGGATATATTTGCGGAAATATTTTGTGTCTGTTTCTGTTTTCAATTCAAACGACAGAACATTTATAAAGTATTACTGTTAATATTCCAAATCATCGAAACACATTTGAAAAAAGAGCCATTTCGACAATTCTCTCGTTTGTGATTTGTTATGTTCCTGTTTAAAAATGCATTTTCGGCAGAGTTTTGTGGCAAATCAAAGTGGAGTGATTGAGTTGTTGAATGAAAATATTGTAAATTTGTTTGCATATATTGATGTATCAATAGAATCGTTTAATTCCAGTCATTTTAGTTTTCGAGGCTTGACTTTTTGCAATACAGCAATAATTTGCTATAAATATCGGTACATTTCTGCATTCATTTTAGTTCAAAGTTACCGTTCGCGCTGTGAAGCTATTTGAAAACACATTAAAAATTACAATTTGAATTGTGAAATTGATGCGAATTGATTGCAACCGAAAATAGTGATAACTATCCCATAATATTTGGAAAAGCACCAGAAATTGTGATTGATTGATTAAACCATGAGTAGAACAAGATCAAGAGAGGATCAATTTAATATGTAAGCATTGTTTTTCTTAATATTTATTCTGTGTTTTTTTTTTTCATTGGATTTTCGATGCAATTTCGCGATATTGTTTTGTGACCAGTTTTTTTTAAATAAGTGTGTATGTTTTTCTTTGTTTTCGTTTCATTTATACAGTCCACCCGAAAGGAAAGACGACATTAAGAACCTTGTAGTCATAAAACAAGGCGTCAAGTCAATCATACGGGAAGAATATCGCGACAGAGTGATTCAGTTTTTAGATCATCGAAGCTACAAAATGACACTGATTTCGTCACTGGCATCATTGTTAGCGTTGTATAAAATTCAAGAAGCCATCGATGATGGGAACCAACAATTTTTTGTACAAAACGGTAAAACATTTTTCATCGAGTGCTTTAACGGTGTTTTAGCCGATAAAGTCGACAGAGAGGAACTAATGTCGCCAGCTTTTCGTAACATTGTCGAGGCACACTTCGGTGTTGAGAATTTTGAATGGCCCGATAAAGAATGCCTGGGAAATGGTTTTAATTATTTCTACCAAGATCACATTCGAAATAATCAGACCAATCTCAACACTCATTGTTCAGAACATGTTGAATCGTTTTTTCAAATGAAACGCTGGTATTATAACATGAATATCAATGGCCATCAATACAATGGATCAAAATTCGACGGCATCGATATACGAAACGCAAAAGTGTACGCCACTAGTAACAAAGATCTGACACATGGCGATGAAGAGAGAACAAATAAGATGAAAGTTTTATTGTATGAACTGGAAAGAATCGGTTGGCAGTGTCAAAAAGTTCATAATGAAGAATTGGTTCCAGTCACTGTCAATGAGTTCGTTAAGGACAATTGGTTCCAATCACTGTGGATGTTCGGTCAAATGCAACGCCAAATCGAAGTGTTTCATCAATATTCACAACAATGGCATGCATTCCGTCGCGATGGATTGATAACGAACAATCGACCGCCAAAAGTGAACAATTTCGCACTTGTCCCGTTATGCCGATTCCAACTGAAAAACGTTCGATTGGATATGAAAGATATGTATTATTTGGCGAACACTGTACTAGGAGTGGTGCCCAGTTCTCGCAATCCGTTGACCAATCGAATGAACTTATACAGCTTGGAATATTACATGAACGGCCATAGAGATGAATTGTGGAATTTGGTTTTCGACATGAATAAAATCAAACAAATCGGCAAGCAGAAGCGGTTTCACTCGCAAATCATCACCAATAGTGTTTGCGTGTCAATATTGTACGAGAAGCCAGCGAAGGCTTGGGTGTAAAATTCGGAGCAGGCCACATTTAACAACATGACATATGCTAGTGCCATCGATCCTAACGAGAAAACGTGGGTGGCCGTTGTGCGCCGCCATATCAATTCAAACATTGAGGTAAATTAAGTTTGTTATTACATTTTTTTTTTTCGGAACGTGATTGAAATTTGACGTAATTATTTAACAGGAAAACATTAAAATATCCAATCCACGATTTCATTGGCAAACCGAGCAGAAGAAGAGAGATCGAAAGGCAGATCGATTGACCTGGTGGTTTGTTGAAGAAGAAAAAATGGATTTCAAGTCGTACCCAGTGATACCATCGCCGCGTGGATCCACATGGAAAGCGTACATTCTGCATCGCATCAAAATGCTACGAATGGGAATGCAAGCATATGCGACTCGAAAATATGCACGATTGGATCTCGATCACCACATCAACGCTACCAAAACAAGTGATAAAGTTGCCATGCGGGTAACGAACAACAAACCGTCTTGGATTTGGATTGGTGCTGGAGAAATGGCACCAAATCGGCCATGGGGCATAAAGAAGCGGAAAAGATGCCCAGGAACGCGTAAATTGGCGACCAGCTTCAAGAAACAAGAGCACACAAAGGTCAGTTTTCAAGATGAATGGGGTACATCAATAACGTGTGCCAATTGTCACGAGCGATTTCCAAGAGAAACCAAAAATCATCGATTCAAAATTTGTCGAAATTGCATACCAAAACCGATTGTTGGACTACCACCGATAATTGTGACGAATTTGAGCAGACAAGAGCTTAAGAAAGAGCGAATTGTAGAGAGAGCAATCAATCCAGATCGTGAGAACATCGAGCGTTTAGTGCCAAAGATAAAAGTTATCTTCAAAACTTGGTCATTAACTCGAGAATACCATGAATTGGGTGATGCTGAACCAGAAGACATGATTGAGCACGTAGTCATTTGGCACCGTGACATTGTTGCCGCAAAGAATATTTTATTCAAAGGTATGTGCATAATTGTATATTGTATTAATATTAAATTGAGAATAGAGAGTAGAGCGTTTGGTGTTCAGTGTTCATATTAATTGATTAATGTTTTGTGGTTGTTTCTGATTTTATAGGAATGTGTCGTCTTTTTGGCATACCATTGCCCGATTCGTTGAAGAGACCTGACAATCCACACCATGCGAACAATGTCAACTGATAGCAGCATAAAATCAACAATAATCATAAGAAGAATATTTTAACAATTTTGTTAGTTACTAGGCGTGAATAGTTTAAATCCAAGGATTTCTATTGTACCCTTGACCGCAGTACGGGTCCCTATTTAGGGCTGTGCGGAATATAAAAGAACCCGTAGGTGAGTACTTTATTGAATTGATAGTTTATTTTTGCATTCAATCTAACTGAATTGTTTTTTTTTTCTTTTTTTCCTTTCCATTTTGACGGTAAAATTGACTGAAACTACACACAAATCCAACCCCAATATGACCGTCAACATATGCCCGATAATGGATGAATTTGCCACAACAAATGTTTGTTGGGTAATGTCGATAGAAATGATAGCGCGGAATTATTGTCAATATGAGTTTCATGGCGAGTTTATTACATAAAATTTATAATATCCGAGTAATTACTAGCTTCTGAGTGGCTTCACATTGTAGTTTTTGTGAGTGTGTGGATAGAACGTATACAACTTGAAGAACTTCGAATATCTGAATTATACAGAAAATCATCGTGAATTTTTCCCTTCTTTTGTTTGTTTGTCTGAATTCATTACGATGCCATGTCGTCCATCAAAGCATTCGTTACCGAATATCATAGTGCAAATGAAATCAACCTACTTTTCGACCAACGAAAAAAAACTAGTAAGTAATAGGTAATAAAAACATTCGAAAATGCGATGTTGGATGATGTATGATATTTTTTTTTTGTGTGTGCGTGTGTATATAAATGAGCTTTATACATATATGTACAATAAACACCATTGGAATCGACACACGCATTAATAACGTCACGCAGATACATATTTTTTTTACTTTATTTGCCTTGGCCCCATGCTACTCGCCTCGAAAAATTCATTTGAAAGCCAGAATTCTATTTTCAGCACGTTCCAGGAATTTCCAATGATATGATTTTTTCCATATTGGTACGGTTTTTTTTGGCTTTTATTATTTTCTGTTGTCAATAGATTTCAAACTGTGCACAATTATTCATGAACAGTTGCCAGTATACAGTTGACAACAATTTTATTGATGACCAAAGGATTTTTAGTTTCTGTGAGCAACGGTTTTGAAACATTTGTAGTACATAATATGGCCGAAGATTTTGGATGCAACCAGGCACAATCATATGGTAAAGCATAAAAAGTAATGACGCTTTTTAAAAAAAAAAATGTTCAAATACGATATATTGCATCGATTTGAATTTTTGATAAACGTCTGATCAAAATTTTATTTGGATGGATTCAATTGTATCGAGTCAAAATTGTAAAAAAAAATTGATTGAGAGACGCTTGCTGAATGATACTTTGCTTGCTTTTCAATGATTTCTAACTTCTTCTATGTTTGAAAATCGGTCCATTGTGAACACTTCATATCGCATACAATATATTGATAAACAGTCGAACACATATATATGTGAATGAAAGAGGACATTGAACTTGAGTAGATTCAAGTGAAGTGAAGTGAAGGTGAGACAAATAATACGTTTGTGGGTGTAATGTGTTGTAAAAATAAGTATTTGTTTGTTTTTGCCGATATTTTATTTGATTTTTGTAAAAAGCGTGAGAATCGCACCAGTCTTTGTCTATGAAAAGAGACAAAACAACATTTCCATGGAAATAGCTGCAGTTAATAAAATATTACAGAACATTTAAATTCATTTCCGAGAACTCAGTTTGAGAGTCCACTCAGTTAGTGTGATTGTTTTACCATTTCACAAACAAAACACGTGTTGCGATATCTAATTGAATCCTTACCACAAAAACTTCTCTCGGAAATCAAATAAGCTTCAACAAAAGCATACAATAGGTTCACTAATATTGGGATATTTGTTGTTTTTGCTGTTTGATTAGCCCTTTCTACAAATGTAGGCTTTCCATATGCAATAATTGAATTGGCTGTACTAGGCACAGAACCAAAGTGAAACAAATCTCGAAAAGGGAAAAAAAAGAAACAAAATTTAATTTGCTAAGCGTGAAATGAGTGAGTTAGGAATGACAACAAAGCCTAATGAGTAAATGTGTCTTTAAATTTTTAATGAATTCCAGCAATTTTCCGGGATCAGTGACAATGTTGAGCGTACGTGTGCTAATTGAATATATATCGCGACCAGAAACAGAAAATTATCGATTTTTTTCTATTTGTATTGTTATTTCATATATATTTTTTCGAATAAAACGATTTAGAATGAGAAAAATGCAGGTAATCGGAGAAGGGAAATGGAAATGAAAAGGAAAAAAAGCAAATAATATTATATTAAAACTACAATATATACGAAAGTTTTCGGATGTATTTATGTGTTTATGTGAATTGTTTGTATACAATTATCGAGGATACTCTAATTTGTTGATTAACTGTTTATATTTGAAATAGAAAAGTGGCTAGACCCAACAACCTACAGCTATATTTAGAAAGAGAGTATGGCCCGAACTTCTATATAATTTTATTAACTGACACTTTTTGGCATTGGAAAAGGTTCACCTATACGTAATATGTGTGACTTATGCAAAGACCCTGTCATATTATCATCAAAAATAGTTTTTGATGGGAGATAGAGAGAGCAAGCGAGCGAGAAGAGAGCGATTGATTTATTTCTGACGTTAATTCATTGATTGAAAGTGGTTCAAATGTTCGACTAACGGACGTTTAATTTGCTACGACATCGAATAGATGGATATGAAAAGACGTAATCATGTCCAATGCTCTATGTTTTACAACAATACTAGAAACAAATGATCAAAAAAGGTTTTAAAAAAATTGAATTGTAAATAGATTGGCATTTTCGTCGTTTGTTTTTAGATCATTTCAAAATGGGAACATATTACCGAAATAACCACGGTATGCAAATGACCTGCCGCACTATATATTTTCAGTTTTTGTTTTTCGTCTTTGAAACTATGATCTAAATATAATATAACAGAATCATGACGGCATCACTATAACGTAAGTTATACTCATAATTGGATCCATATAGAAGATGACGAAGCAGGAGAAGGTGAAAACAGAAGGACCAACATGATATTGAGAAATATTACAAAGTCACCGTTTTCAACGTTTGAAATGTCGTAGTAATCGCTATTTGGGTATGTATTCGTTTACATTAAAAACCTAATTTTCAATAAAATGTGCCACAACATTTTTTCTACGTTGGTTTAAGACAAACAAACGTGGTACAATTGGACATGAAACCGGTAGTGTTGTAATCTCTGTATGACTTGACTGTATAAGACTGTTTTTTCTCTCTGCTTTCTCTTGAGTTAGAGTGAGTGATAGAGAGAGAGAGAGAGAGAGAGAGAGTTCCCAAAAGTACTCTCGATTCTGAGCAAAAATCGAATGAAATGGAAAAGTGAGAAAAGAACTATCGAATCAACTATAAATAAATGCCATATAATGTGTGTTATTTCTTTCCATACATTTCGAATGGGATATGTTAAATGTCGTATTTAAATCGACGACCGATGTATGTTTGTGTGTATGTTTGTGCGCAAGAAGGATTTATTTATATTTATAAATGTGACGAACAAGAGACATTTAGCGTGCTCACTCGAATATTTGCACTCATCGAAAGTCGTACGGACAAAAGAATAAACTCGCGCACATACAACGGCGTGATAAAAAAAAAAAACAAGAAAACAAGTGCATAGGCAATCGTTGATTTTGTGGTACTTGAGTTGCTATGTTTTAACTATGACGTGATTTTATTTATCGTAGATTATTGTAAAGTCGCCAGAATTGCAATACACACATGCATTTAATTACATGATTTTCGCGTACCGATCATTTGTTGTTTTCGCAGTGCATTTCAATTTTTCTTCGGTCGAATTGAACAAGCGAGTGTCAATTTATGGTAAATCTTATATAGATAATAAAAAATAGGTCTCGATCGAGCAACGACAACACTGAAAGATCCCAATATAAAAATAAAATGACGTGTGTATTGTACACATGAAAAAATAAACATCAAAAATAGATTCGACAAACGGATTACTTCCTCAATGTCAAGCATTCAAACCATCACCATTTCAACGTTCTGTGCCACTACGTATATACAATTTAATGATGAATATGCGAGCGTATTGATTCGTCCGATCGTACCGCACACAAAGTTCGTATCAAAATCGTTTACAAAAACACACCAAATAATACTCTATACAATAATTGCTTATTTTCTTCAGTGTTTTTTTTTTCACCAACGACACACCGTTTATTGCACTCATGGTATTTATACGCGCCATGTCATACGTACTCCATGAAATGAACTCGGTTCGATGAATTTCAATACACATATAGATAGAAATGAAACAAGCCATAGTTCAGTGTTTGTCTGAAAATAGAAATTTTATGTTCGGAACATCAATATTTTATGAACACTTTCATTTCAATTGCTTTTTTGCTCTATGCCATCGTTTTTGTATTGATGTCAAAAAGACATGGCGAGTGCGTCGGCACAGCAACACGCACATGTCAGTTGTCGCCACGCCGACCTGGTTATCTATTGATTGAGGAAATTGAATATGGAATTTGAATAAAATGACATGAATTTAATTTAATTATTTTTCATGTGATACAAACGCGCTGTATACAAAAATTGCATATTAAATATTTGATTGTGGTGTGTGGTCATACGTGGCGCATATCATATATTTTTATACATCAATTAACAATGCATAATAACAACGATTCATGATTGCATACACAAGCAACAGAGAAATGAATCCTTGCCTATCACTATACGATCAAAAAGTGGGCAAAAATTAATCTACCAATAGTGGCCTGGCTCCATATATTGAGAAATTAGCGATTTTGATTATAAATTTTTTTCTTCTTGCTTTTGAACAATATTATCTTTTTTTTTTCTTACTAATTTGCAGAAGTGTTTTTTTCAATGAAAAGACGTAAACGAATTTAAGACGAGGACTTTTTAAGAAAAGGCGGAACCGAATGGAAAAGACAAAAAAGACGGAATGAATGCGTGAATCTTAATATCGGAACAAACGAGAAAACTCATTAACGAAATAAGATGAAATGGAATCCAATTGAAATTTCGAAAGTGAAGCACTTTGACAAACTTATGATTCAATATTTCAGTTCGAAAACAAAATATAATAAATAATCAAACACTCTGAATCGAATTGT